TTCCCTCCCCCAGGCCTGGCTCTAGCAGTAGATTTGCCTCTACTCACAGCCATGAAAGAGCCCCAACAGGAACCATGCTGCTTACAGAGGCCAGCCCTGTCCTGTGAATTGGGCCCATAGCAGCATAGAGCGAGCACACGTTGGTTGCCATCTGCCTAGTGGCATTTCACAGCTCCCCCCTCCCCCCAGCAATGGCACAAGGGGCCAGGCAGGGCAGAGCAGGTGCCCAGTGCCTTACAGCAGTGGTTCTCAATTCAGGATCAATTGTTTTGGGAGCCCCTCCCCCAAGCTGTGCCAGTATTAGACTTGCTGGCACCCAGGGCAGAAAGCCAATGCCCCACTGCTTAGTGAGGAAGGCCATACCCATCAAGGCTAAAGCTGAGCATCTGTTTCATGGGGGCCCCTTGGTCCTGGGCAGTTGCCCAACTTTTATATGGCAGAAAACAGGGGGGATACAATTGAGATGTGGCATTTGAGAGAGAGTTCTCACCTTTTTCTGACTCTTCTCCCCCGCCCCCCCCACTTACAGGAACAGCATAAAGGCCTGGCTCACAGAGCTAAGCCCAGCAAACATACAACAGCATTACAGCCAGGGAAGAGGGACAGCAATGCTCTGCCCTTGGCCAAACACTTGAGCTACACAGCATTTGGCTCAGTAGAAGAGCTAAGTATTGCTGCAATGCCACCAAACATGGCTAGAAAAGCCCATCACTGAATTTTTGCAAGAGCCTTTGCTAGATCCCCTACCCAGCACCTCAGAAGCTTAGGCTGCCTTTAGGTTTTTCTAATCCCACATCCAGTTCTCAGGAAGGGATTTCTGCAGCAGCTGCTTCACCTCCCAGCCCCAAGCCAAGAGAGGCCAGCATTGGCACAGGGACCAAGCCTTGCCTGTACTCACCACAGCCAATCTTTCTGGCAGCTCTGTCCCACCAACCACCCTGCTTTGCTCCTTGAGCAGCCCATACAATCAGCCTCTTTTATAGGCCACTTATTTAGAACAGGTGAGGGCAAATTCCTACCTTATCTCTCAGATAAAATCCTCCCTTCAGTCTACTCCCACTACAACCTGAGAACAAGCTCCCCCTGCTGGTGGCTATTGCTGGTTTCTAGCATATGGCCCCTTACTTGGCTCCAACAAGGCTCCCTGTGCAGGGATGGGGCCCTGTGGTACCCAGGGAATCCGGGCCAAACCGCTGCATGGTTTAAGTTGTAGAACTGGGTGCAGGTGCCACGAGGGGGGGGGGAGCCTGGCCGAGGGGGGGGGGAGCCTGGCCACAGAGCTTTCAGAATGCTCAGTGACATCATCCCACGTGAGCTGCATGAATGCAGACAACACTGGGGCACTCTAATGCTTGCTTGGGCAGGG